AGGGCCGCACCTTCGCCAATTGCGCCTACACCAGCAGGAGCAGACGCTCCCCGCAGACTGCCAGCTGTGCCCGGCTGGGTGCGACAGCTGCGTCCTCGGGCGTCCGTGTGCGCGGCCCTGGCAGCCTGGCGAATCGATAAGCCTCCGAGAGGCCGGCGTCGGCCCGGCAGGCTGGGCGGGACGGCACGGTTCCCGATCCTCGGGTCCTCTTCCTTCTCCTCCTCCTGGGAAAAAGATGTTCGGGGGGGCCCTCCTCGGGGCCCTCCTCCTTCTCCTTCGCCTCCTCCTCCTCGGGCCCGCTTCCGATCCTCGGGAAAAGGTTCTCCAGGGGGGCATGGTTCCCGATCCTCGGGTCTGCTTCGGGAGGGAGCTGTTCCAGGCTGAGTGGCACTGCAGTAGGTGGGTTGGGGCGGAGCCCCCCCTTCCTGCGCGCAGGCGGCGTTGCACACTGCGACGGTTCATGCTTTCGACGCGGATGTCCCAACGCTGCGAGTGGCAGGCTGATGTTTTCACGTGTTGCAATGCTCGGAAGCAGGTTGTAGGAGGCCTGAACGGTGCGGTACCACCCGACTTCGGGGCGCAGAAGACCGCGCGAGACGGCGAGGTGGCACCTTCTCAGTGCAGATCGACTGTCGTGCGATCATATGTGCTGCCAGAAACCATGTGTTCCCAGGCTAGCACGAGTCCTCGTTCACACTTCTGGAGGCGGGGGGGTTACTCGCGCGAAGACGTGGTACAGAGGGATCTCTTGCACGAGAAAGCCCACGCCGCGGAGCGAGCGGCGCAAAAAAAAGGCTCCTCCCTTCCAGCGTGAAGGCAACACCCTTGCTGACCAGTGGGCCCCGAAGGGGGACGCCCTTGCCCGCTCGGATCTCAGCGACGTGCATTCCTTAGAAGGATGCAAAGCGGCGGCGTCCCAGATAGGTAGATATGTCGCCAGGATCTCGGAGCTGATGGCCGATCGCGAGCTCAGAGGTAACTTGGATGGAATCTACCTCAAACAGATCGATATTGGGACTCGGCCCCCAGGTGTGCCCTGCCCTGAGTGATGAGTCTAATCCTGGCTCGGGGGACGAGGCCGAGGAGGTCTCGAAGTCCAGGCCTCCTGGACATGCTGCTCCCAGGGCCTGAAGTGCATCCAGGACCACCAGGTGCTCGAGGCGGCTGTGGGAGATGGCAAGCAAAAGCCAGTGCTGCTGTGTCGGTCGTGCTGTCAGTACGCTGTGCTTCCTGGCAGCGGGGAATCGAAGCATTATGTTTCGGTGTTCGACACCTCTCGGGAGGTAAGGCCTTGACCGCGCGGAATCGCCTGCAAAGCCAGAAGCATGCGACTCGGTCCGAGGTGGCCCTGGGGGAGAGTCGTCCGCCGTCGCTGTCATCTCGGGCCCGTTGGGCGGGCCAATTCGGGGAGCCCGTGGCTGAAGAGCAAGTTGCGAGGGGAAGGATCTCTCCGTCTCTGAAGCAAGGACCGCCGCCGAAGGTGGACCTAGCTGTGACTATCCGTGCGTGCTTCGCTGGTCGCAGCGAGGCAAAGCGGATTGGAGTGCAAGCCCTGGAGGCCCGGGCGGAGGCGCGTGCACGGCACGACGCCCGGCCCGAGGATACCCAACCCCTTGAGGAAGGGTTTACTCCTCCTCATCCTCCTCCTCCTCCTCCTCCTCCTCCTCCTTCTTCTCATTTCTTCCCTTCTCCTCCCCCTCATCCTCTTCCCTTTCTCCCCTCCATCCCCACCTCCTCCTCCCCCTTCCTCCCCGCTCCTATCCTCATCCTCTTCTCCTCCTCCTCCCTCCTCTCCTCCTCCCCTCTTCCCTCCTCACCCCTCCTCTCCTCCCCTGTTCTCCCTCCTCCTCCTCTCCTCCCTCCTCCTCCTCCTCCTCCTTATCCTCCTGTCACCCCTCCTACTCCCCTCTTCATCACCCTCCTCTTCTCCTCCTCCTCCTCCTCCTCCTCCTCCTCCTCCTCCTCCTGACGCCATCGTTCTCATCCACCTGCACCACCACCCCCCTCAGCGAGTGTCCAGTGTCGGGCACAAGGGGTGGGGGTGCCTGGCGTGATGCCAGCGCACCTGTCGGGGGGAACGATGTTCTGCCCACCCAACAGGGACAACATGGACCTGGAATCAGCGATACATCGCCGATATATCGGCAATCCGCAATCGCTTGGGCGGGGTGGGCTATCGGGCCCAGGTCGACGATAACGAGCGATGGTGGGCCGATGCGTCCACCCTGAGTCTACCCCCCACGCACGTTGCTCCTGACCTCCCCCTCGATCCGCCGACGCGGTCTTTCACTTCACGGCGCCAGAGGTCCAGGCCGCTCCCCGGGGAGATTGTTTCGCCCAGGGTCCATTTCTGCTGAAGGACCCCTAATCCTGTGGGAGCGGACCTAACTGACAAGGCCCAAAACATCTCCGGATGTATCAAGCCAATCCACGCGGACTGACCAGACCTAACGCAGAGACGGGGACCTAAGTGAGGCCACGTCTTCATTGTGTTCTTAGGGTTAGGGGTTCTCTTGTCCTCGATGACCAGAAGCCGAAATCGAGATCCGGGCCTGCGTGCGCCCTGAGGGGGGCGCGCCCCATCCCCAGTGTGTGGGGTGCTGCCAGAGTCGCCCCTGACCAAAAGGCGACCCCAGCTTTCCGCGCCGTCTTGGGCCACCCTGGGGCCCCCTGGGCCCTCTGGGCCTCGTGAGGGGTGCTCTGGAGGCCGTGGGGCCTACTTGGAAATCCCGGGGGCGCCCTGGGCCAGGAACACCACTGGGACTAGAAATAACATTCGGGAACGAACTGACCCAAGCCAACGCCAGCCCGGGTCAGTCGGGCTCTGCGGCATCCTGCAAGATCCTGATGGCTCCTGCGCGCGACCTGCAGGATCCTGGAAGCTCGGGCGCACTGGCCGACCCCGCTTTGCATCCCCGACGCGAGGGTGCCCGGCCGAGAGAGCAACCGAGGCGGCGGCTCCGCGGCCGCCACGACGGTCGCGAGGGTCGTGGTGATCGGCTCCATCTTGTCCGCCTCCTGTGCGGGTCGGCACCGTGGCGGCAAGAGGCGCCAACGCGGCCCGGCCCGCCCCGCGAGAGAGGGGCCGGGAGGGGCTCTCGAGCGGGCGGTGCAGTGCGGGCGCGGCCGCAGGAAACCCTCGCAGAACTCAAACCTGAGAGCCCGTGCGCGGGGTGCACCTGAGGGGACACCTATAGCACCCTGAACGCAGCAGCTCCTTCAACGGCTGCGCGAGGAGCGAAGAGACCCAGGATACCCCGACGGAAAGCATACGGTGTCTTGATGCGCGCCCCCACTGTAATGGGGGGGGTGACCTGAATGGGGGGTGGAGCAAAGGGCCCACAAGGGGCCCTTTTGGGCCCCAACCGGCACTCAAGGGAACCTCTAAGCCCCTTTGGGGCCCTTTTCTTCACCCCCCCATTTCTCGCCATCGCTCGGACGTCCATTCCCTGAGCACGTGTCGATGTCCTGCGCCTCTTGTTTCGCGCGACAATCCACGAGGCTCCTCGATGGACCTCGCCGGGACAGGATACGCACGCTCGAGCGATGCCACGATGCAGGCAGGTCACCCCCGAGCAACACCCGGGGGGGGCCTCGCTACTGGACCTACGGCGGTCTGCCCCTCTCCTCCTCAGCGCTGGGCGCTTCTCCTCGACGCCGGCCCCCTGGGGCCGCTGCCTGGCCCCGGGGCCAGCAGGGCGACGATCCTGGGGCGCAGAGCTGACCCGGGGGGGTCGGGACCTCTGGGGCCACGCACCGACCGAGCAGAAATCAGGTCGGCGGATGTCAGGGCCTGCGCTCTGCCGTGCTTTCTGGGCCCCCCGGAGGCCTCCTCGCCACCACGACGGGGTCCGCCTCGAGACACGGGCCAGGACGGGCCAGAGGAGGGGTCAGGGCCACGATGTGGTTGGCACTGGGCTCCGACACCGCGCGCATCGTCAGAGCAGAGGAGGCGGGGGGACGAGAGGGGGACGAGAGGGAGGGGAGAGGGAGGAGGGGAGAGGGAGGAGGGGAGAGGGAGGAGGGGAGAGGGAGGAGGGGAGAGGGAGGGGAGAGGGAGGAGAAGGGGAGAGGGAGGAGGGGACGATACGGAGGGGAGAGGGATGGGGAGAGGGAGGGGAGAGGGATGATGATGATGATGATGATGATGATGATGATGATGATGATGATGATGATGATGATGATGATGATGATGCTGCTGCTGCTGCTGCTGCTGCTGCTGCTGCTGCTGCTGCTGATGATGATGATGATGATGATGATGATGCTGATGCTGATGCTGATGATGCTGATGCTGAAGCTGATGCTGATGCTGATGCTGATGATGATGATGATGATGACGATGATGATGAGGATGAGGAGGAGGACGAGGAGGAGGAGGAGGAGGAGGAGGAGGAGCAGCAGCAGAAGCAGCAGCGGAGGGGAGGGCCTTTTTGACCTTCCCTTCGCAGGGTGCAGCTGAGAAGGAGGCACGAAAAGGTTCAGCCGGCAACTGACCTTCGGGAGCAACCCAGGGCGTCGCCGACGCCGAGTCGGCTCCACCGAACCCAGCCCCCAGGGGGAAGAAAGTGCGGGAAGAGCGGAGAGCGGCAGGATGGGGCCCTGAGGAGGAGGGCGAGACGCCGAGCTCTCAGAGCACCAGCCTGAGCCCGCAGCTGTCCCGAGGGTGGCCAGTGAGTCCACGGGTGCTGGTGAGGAAACCCTGTCTGCGGCAAGCTCACGTCGCGCTGGCGTGACAACCGCGCGAGTCTTTCGACCTCGAGCGGTCGCGGCTCTCCAGTTGCCCTCTTCCTGGGCGCCTGGCTCTGGCTCCTGGGGTTCTTAGGTTCCTGGCTGCGGCCAGATTCCCAGGGCCTCGATACAGCACAGCCGCAAAAGAGAACACAGAGCAGAGAGCGATAGCCGCATTCTGAAAGGAGCCGCCCACAAATGTCCAAACTGTGGCAAGCGTTTGAGACGAATGCGCCGGGCGCTAAAGCGGAATCCCATTTTTGAAATTACCCTGTGACGTACCCAACCCATTTGTATCAATGGAAACGAGGAGTTGGCCGACACTTGTATGGACAATCAACTTGATGTGTAAGCTACTTGGGAGGCGTCACTGTGCTGGGCCCCGCCAGCAGGCCTCGAAAGTGGCGACAGTTTCACAGATCGCAGCCCCCCAGGGATGGCGAGGTCTAATTTGAATCTGCGTGTGGCGTCACTGTGCTGGGCCCCCCAGCAGGCCTCGAAAGTGGCGACAGTTTCACAGATCGCAGCCCCCCAGGGATGGCGAGGTCTAATTTGAATCTGCGTGTGGGTACCCACTGTGCTGGGCCCCTCAGCAGGCCTCGAAAGTGGCGACAGTTTCACAGATCGCAGCCCCCCAGGGATGGCGAGGTCCCATTTGAGTCTGCGGTACCCACTGTGCTGGCCCCCCAGCAGCCCTCGAAAGTGGCGACAGTTTCACAGATCGCAGCCCCCCAGGGATGGCGAGGTCCAATTTGAATCCGCGTGAGTACCCACTGTGCTGGGCCCCCCAGCAGCCCGAAAGTGGCGACAGTTTCACAGATCGCAGCCCCCCAGGGATGGCGAGGTCTAATTTGAGTCTGCGGTGGTACCCACTGTGCTGGGCCCCCCAGCAGCCCTCGAAAGTGGCGACAGTTTCACAGATCGCAACCCCCCAGGGATGGCGAGGTCCTGCCCCACTGTGCTGGGCCCCCCAGCAGGCCTCGAAAGTGGCGACAGTTTCACAGATCGCAGCCCCCCAGGGATGGCGAGGTCTAATTTGGGTCCGCCCGTGGCGTCACTGTGCTGGGCCCCCCAGCAGGCCTCGAAAGTGGCGACAGTTTCACAGATCGCAGCCCCCCAGGGATGGCGAGGTCTAATTTGAATCTGCGGTGGGTACCCACTGTGCTGGGCCCCTCAGCAGCCCTCGAAAGTGGCGACAGTTTCACAAAGACAGTCACAGATCGCAGCCCCCCAGGGATGGCGAGGTCTAATTTGAATCTGCGGTGAGTACCCACTGTGCTGGGCCCCTCAGCAGCCCTCGAAAGTGGCGACAACTGCACAGAACGCAGCCCCCCAGAGATGGCGAGGTCCCATTTGAGTCTGCCGTGAGTACCCACTGTGCTGGGCCCCCCAGCAGGCCTCGAAAGTGGCGACAGTTTCACGGATCGCAGCCCCCCAGGGATGGCGAGGTCCCATTTGAGTCTGCGGTGAGTACCCACTGTGCTGGGCCCCCCAGCAAGCCTCGAAAGTGGCGACAGTTTCACAGATCGCAGCCCCCCAGCTGGCACGCAGCGACGAGCGAGGCGAAATGCAAGGGGGAAGAGAGGGGCGGGAAGGAAGGAAGGAGACGCGCGAGCAGTGCTCTGTTCAAAACGAGAACGCAACGCAGGAGGGTTGGGAAAGAAAACACTCTTCATCTTTGAAGCTGCAACAAGCTGGTAAATATAATGTGCGCGGTGCCAAGACGAAAATCCGATTTTCAGAACTGGTCCCCCTCTATCCGTAAAGCTGCTGCAAGTGTTTTTAACGAATGCACGAGCGTTCCGGCGAGACTCGCGCTTGGAAAACACACACCCTTCAATCCTTGGAGCTGCTGCAACAATTTACGACGAATGTGCGCAGCACTAAAACGAGAGCCCCGATGTAAAAATGGCCCATGCCCTGCCTACACGCCTGGGGGGTGCGACAGGGAGTCATCTATAAGGACAACGGCTGAAGGAGGAGGGGGAGGGGGAGGAGGGGAAGGAAAAGAGAGGGGAGGACAGAAAAGGGAAGATAGAAGAACGGAGAGGGCAGGAAGGAGAGGGGCATGCAGAGGAGGAGGAGGAGGAGGAGGAGGAGGAGGAGGAGCCTCCTCCTCACCCACCATGGGGAATACTTGCCTCATGTTCGAGGCCCCCGGGCGGGCTCGGAGCAAGGCCACAGCGCCCAAAGCCGCGGGCGCGCCGCGTCCTCCAGCTCCGCATCGGCCACCTCGCAGACGCCGCACGTCGCCTGAGCGGCAGACAGAGCGGGGCCCGACGAACGGTGGCACGGCGACCTCCTCAGGCGGCACACGTGTCCACCGCGCAGAGCGCGGGCGACCAGCGTGCGGCTCTGTGCGTGACTGGCGCAGGCGGCCCCGCGCTGCCCTTACGCAGCCAGACCCGCGCACCGCGCGGGCCGCCAGCGCAGCGAGCCACGACGGAGAAAGAGCGGGCCGCCTGCATTCAAGCTGCAACTTCACTCTCTCTTGCATTCCCCGCTTCTCTCACCTCCCCTCCTCCCCCTTTTACCCTCATCCTCTTCCTCCTCCTCCTCCTCCCCCTCGTCCTCCCCCTCCTCCTCCTCCTCCTCCTCCTCCTCCTCCTCCTCCTCCCCCTCCTGCCCCTCCTTTTCCTCCTCCCTCCCTCCCTCCTCCCCTCCCTCCCCCTCCCTCCCTCCCTCCCTCCCTCCTTCCCTCCTCCCCTCCGCTGACACCCGCTCCAGCTGGCCAGCTTGACTGCTACCCGTGCCCCCCCTCCTGCTCGTGCTCCTGCCCCTCTTGAGCCCCAGCCCTACGGGAACGAGCGACAGTGGAAAACCTGGAAGGTACCCTTTTTTTTCCCAGGGTGCACGAGAAACATAGAAGAATATGAGAGGGTGCCCTTCTCGAGCCAAACATGGTATTGCACCTCTCTCCGGCTGTACTCCTGCGTCTATTCTGTCCCTGGTATCGGTCACCCTGCACTTCTTCGCGATGTACTTCGAGTTCGGGTGCCCGAAGCAGAAGACCTGAAGGCAGAAACGCTCTGGTGCCCAGACACAGCACAGTACCGCAGCGAAGGGCGGTAGAGGGCCAGGACGACGAATAATGATATAACAGAGCTAAAAGAAGCAATCTAAGCCCAACAACACCAAGCAAGGCCAACAATCTGCCACGGTGCCCCCTGGCACGTTGAGGCGTGGTGGGCTGCCAAAGACTGCCTGGCAGGATGTTTGTAATACGTAAGGCCCTCCCTCGCACAGTGACACTCAGTAACATGCATCGCCCTCCCACCCCCGTCCCGAGGGCTTCTCAGCGCCCCGACGATTCCATGGCGCCGTCCAAGGCCTCCAGGATCCCCAAGATGGCTTCCAAGACGGCCCAGGCAGCCACCAAGGCCGCCGAGATGGCCCAAGATGCTGGCAAGACGGCCGAGCATGTTTGGAAGACGGTCCAAGATGGCCCCGAGACGGCACAAGATTGCCTCAAGACGGCCGCCGAGGCCCCCGACGCGGCCCAGGAGGTATCCAAAAGAACATCCAGAAGGGCCCGAAGGGAGCAACATCAATGATGTCCCCAAGGCTTTCAATGTCCCACAAAACAAAAAACAACGGTGCCCATCACACGAAAGGTGCCCAACCACATGCACTAGGCAAACCCAGAATCACCTGAGGACCAGCCTGCAATAAGCGAGCCAACACGCGAGACCTTGGCCAATGCTGATAAACAAAAAAAGGTACGGCAACGTAGCAAGGCTGCCCTAAGGTTTTGAATGATATCGCGTTCTCGCCTTTTCAGCATTCCGTTAGCCCAAGACGGTCCAAGAGGCTTCGGAGATGGCCCCAAGACAGCCCAAGGCAGCCCTCAAAGGCGTTCAAAAAGGGCATCAAGAAGGCCTAAGAAGCCCCCAGGAGGGCCCCGAAATGGCCCAACAAGGCCCCGAGACGCCTAAGAGACCCCAAGACGATCCTTCACGGCCACAAGAGGGTTCCCAGTCGGCCCAGAGATGTCCCCAAGACGGTCTCATGAAGTGCCAAACTGCCCAAGAGCGCCCTAAGACGGCCCAATGATCCCCCAAAAGGCCCCGAAATGCTCACAAGACTCCCCCGAGAGGCTTCCAGACGGCCGCAAAGAGACCGCAGGAGAGGAGGGCAAAAGAGGAAGGAGGAAGACGAAGAGGGACACCGCGACAAAACGCGGAAGACCGTGTCACATGTTATAGCTTTCCCAAGCCTCGGGACACGAGATGTCGCAAGTGACGGCCTCCTGTGCGATCCTCAATATGTCGCCACCCACGGTGATGATCTGGCAAGATGGCGAGACTTGCCGCTGGCAGCTGGATAGCTCGGCGGTGTCCACTCCAGCTAGTGTGATCAACGCTCGTTGCTTCGCTGAAGAACTCGTGTCTCGCTCTATCGGAGACTTTGATTGCACATTGGATTTGGCCCCCATCACCAGCTCCACCCACGAAACACTACACACAGATCGCCGACCCAATCCTGCTTCCTTCATCCTAAACCCCCTGTGCCCCTCCTCGCCCTACTTCTACCGTTTGTCCTCGAATGTATCCCTACCTCCCTGAAGTATATGTTGTGCACTTGGTGACAGGGATAGAGCCGTACAGGCTGCTGAACGCACCGCACAATGAATCAGTTCCAAGTGGAGGTAGCCGACGAAGATGCAATAGTGTGCTAGACGCGTGGCCGAATAAAGCATGGAAGTGGAGCTCTGCCAAAGCCATTAACTCTGAACGCAAACTCTCACCGCTTGACACAATGCCAGGCACCATCGCTAGAAGCCAACACGCAACATGACTCAAATGGCAAACTCCCAAACCGCGGGCTTCCACAGCCCATTCAAGCTCTCAACAGCTCGCAAGTTGGCAAGGTCAAGGCAAGGGGCTTCCTTGGAATCGATGCAGTCCATGACTTTGCGCCCCATGAAGAGCACCTCTCCGCCAAGGCGATCCACGGCTAATGAGACAGAGCACCCTCGCAATGAAACGCCGCAGGCCACACTGACAAGTTCTGCGTGCTCCACGCCAGCATCCTCCTCTGAACGTCATATCGGCACTGGATGCCTGAATCGAAAGAGGCGTTCCGCGAATCTGGAGGCATTGACTCGCATGCCCATGCAGGATACAGCACACCAGAAGAGAACGTGGCGAGCGGAACGCAGAGTATGTAAACGACGGCGCGCATACAGCCTGCGGCTGTGGAGCACACAACGTGGCCTCCAAGCGCAGGCATCGAGGAAAATATCAAACTCGCGTCCCGCATGAGAAAAAAACAAACACACAATTGGAAAAACAGCAGCTACAAGTCTGACAAGAGCCCATGCTTTTTTCTTTTGCGATGACGCCCGATACCACCCTGCACCACCGACCCCCTCCAACCCCACCCTCGTAACGTCACGAGTCGTACCAGCGCCGTCTGGGAATTTGCCGTTAATGAGCATTCCCAGACGGCGCCGGCGCGAATCATGACGATTGCGCTACCAGCCCCCTCCCTCCCGTCCCCCCTTCTGGCAACACCAGGGGATCAACAAATTGTCTCCAGGGTGTTCTGAGCAGCTTCCGAGAATGCTGGGGGGGCTCAAGCATGTCGACAATATCGTTCCAGCGCCCCCCTGGTTGCCCCGCTCCTGGAGGCTGAGTTTACACTCCCGCGGCACTGGCACGTGGTCCGCAGCATCGTCCTCGGGGCGTGTTCGATAGCACGAAGAGGGCACCAGGAACAAGAACATTATGATGAGGCAACAGTGTCAGACCCTGAGCACACTGTGAGTATAAGCGCTTGGTGAGTCCCCACTTGACGCGTGAGGAACACACCCTTGATGCAACACATCTGAAAACTTGCCTTGGAGTAGGCGGTGTTAACTGATATGTCGTACACGGATGCGCTCGTCGGATTCACGACGGATGTGCGACGGGGTGCATCTTCTACTCATCAGCATGAGTGCCCGAAGAGCAGACATCGGCTTCAAAGATCCGCTGGACCCCACTGCCGGGGCCATCGGGCTGCGAACCCCAGGCTTCGGCGACCGGGCAGCCTTGACAGCACATCTGGGCGATGAACACTCCCGCGACATTCTTGACAATCCTGCAATTCAGCAAGCGTGACCTCTTCAGAGCTCCGCAATTAGTTCTCACGAGCACCACATCGCTGGCGTTCAGTTGGCATTCCTAACGTCAGTCGCGGGCCCCGTACGTGTTTTCAGACCTCCTGAGGCGCTCTGAAACACATATCAAAAAAAAATAAAGCGCGCGCCCAGGGAAAGACATCCCTCGTGTAAAACAATGATACCGCACTCCCGAAGCCACGATGCCCGAGGCCGCGATCCCTCGTACTCGTAAAAACTATTGAAACGTGATCCCCGATCCCTGTGTACCAACTGTGACCAGAATCTGACGCAAAACATTCATCGAGCCGCGCTTTAGAAGCTCCAATCTAAAGGGGCCCCAGGACACACAAATAAATACACACAAATAAAAAGATTCCCCATATTTTTCCATATTGTCTGGGTTTGTGTCTTCCCCCCCACTTCCCATCGTTTCCCATGTTTTCCTGGGGATCGTCGATGAATTGTGTCTGTGTGCTTTTTCCCCCTCCTGACAATCCCTTGTAATAAACGCTGCTTCAACTCCCGAGCCAGGGATCCCTCTTGCTAGCGCGAGCCACGGATCCGTGCTCCCGAGGACACGACCCATGTGGAAGCAAACGCGGAAGCGCGCGCCCGAGGGCACCGCTGTCGAGAGAGGCCAGGGGCACGCGCCCCGAACGCCGAGCTCCCTCGCGAGACGGTGTGGGCCGTCGCCTCCCGGACCAGGATCCCTCGCAAAGCAGGCGACGGAGGGGAGGTGGGAGAGGAACGTGAAAGCCTCCACCTCCCTCCCTCCACCTCCCTCCTCCCTCCTCATCCTCCTCCGCCTTCTCCTCCGCGTTTCTCCTCCTCCTCCTCCTCCTCCTCCTCCTCCTCATCCTCATCATCATCATCATCATCATCATCATCATCATCATCATCATCATCATCATCAGCAGCAGCAGCAGCAGCAGCAGCATCATCATCATCATCATCATCATCATCATCATCATCATCATCATCATCATCAGCAGCAGCAGCAGCAGCAGCATCAGCATCAGCATCAGCATCAGCAGCAGCATCAGCATCAGCATCAGCATCATCATCAGCAGCAGCAGCATCATCATCATCATCATCATCATCATCATCATCATCATCATCATCATCATCATCATCATCATCATCATCATCATCATCATCATCGTCATCATCATCATCATTATGCTCATCTTTCTTCTCTTCCTCCTTCGCGCCTTCCTGCTCCCCCTCCTCCCCCTGCAGTGGCTCGGCGGAAGTGGCGTCATCCCTGGGATCACCCTGCTATCCGCACGCGCACAATCAGACGACCTGAGCAGGTGGAGATGCCCACTCAAGCCGCGAGTCTCCTCACAGGGTCCAGAGGGTGCTGAACTGCGGGACGAGCTGTCGGACGAGTTGCTGACCTGCAGGAGGGGAAGGAGGTGCTGCATGCAGGGGTGGGAGATCGCGGGTGAGGCAGGGAGGGGATGGACTGGGAGAAGGGAAGGCTCGGGGGAGATGAGTGGCAACGTCGGGGAGGCCCGGGGGGGCTGGCTAAGGGAGGTGAGCATCGGCCTGGAATCGGCAATCCATCCCCGATATATCGGCGATGGGCCCCCGATGTAGCAAAAGCGCGCGGTCCTGCGCGGGGTAGGGCATCGGGCCCTAATCGGAGATCAATGGGCGATTGGGAGTCGATGCATCCCCCTCTGAGCCGCTCCCCCCCTGACGCTGCACCCCGTGGGAGAGCGGGAGCGGATGCGAAGGGAGCGAGAGGAGGGGATGGCGCCACAGGTGAACGTCCCCCCCCCCCCCGAGGTGGAAGGAGCTCTTAGAGGAGCAGGTGCGCAGGAGGGGAGGGAAGGAGGGCGGAGGTGGAGGGACGAGGCGGGAGAGAGGAGAGCAGAAGAAGGGGTGAGGGTGGGTGCGGGGGGGAGGAGGAGGACGACGCGGCGACGACCAGTACGAGAAAAAGAGGCGGACGAGGAGAGGGACGACGACGACGACGACGACGACGACGACGACGACGACGACGACGACGACGACGACGACGACGACGACGACGAAGACGACTGGGACGGCAAAAACCCACCCCCACTCCCAGTCCCGACCCCATCCCCGGGAGCGACGACGAGGGTGCGCTCGGCGAGCGCAGCCTCCACTCGGAGGGCCTCGACTTGCGGCATCGCCTGGGGGGCCCTCGTCTGGACGGGCATCCCCCTCCTCATTGGAGGCGCGCGCGCACAACGATGGCATAGGCAGGTGCCATGCTCGATATAGCAGCAGCCTCCTCCGCCTCCTCCTCCTCCTCCTCCTCCTCCTCCTCCTCCTCCTCCACCTGCTCCTGCTCCTCCTCCTCCTCCCTCCTCCTCCTCCTCCTCCTCCTCCTCCTCCTCCTCCTCCTCCTCCTCCCTCTCCTCCTCCTCCTCCTCCTCCTCCTCCTCCTCCTCCTCCTCCTCCTCCTCCTCCTCCTCCTCTACCAGGTCCAAGCCTCCAGGCCTCAAGGCTCGATGCGGAGGTGCTTCGCAACTCGCGGCCTCCGGGAACCCTCGACCTGGGCTCGGGGACAGTGAAAGAGCGATTCGGGATGCCAAACCAGCCCTGGGAAAAGCATCGCGACTTCTAGGGACCCCGCTCCGGAACCGTGCTAAAAAACAAGGAGGAGGCGGAGGAGGAGGAGGAGGAGGAGGAGGAGGAGGAGGAGGAGGAGGAGGGAGGAGGAGGAAGGGGAAGGACGAGGAGGAGAGGGCGGAAGAGCGGGGAGGAGGAGGCACGACGGCGAGGCCCTTCCCTCCTCCTCCCTGCCTGGGGACCCGTCGGGACTCCTGGGGACCCCGCACTGGGGCCGCGCTGGACAGCCCGTGCCGGCTGGCCGTTTTGAGGCCAAACGCTCTGCCGTGCACTCTGCGATCGGGGATCTTCTGACCCGGGTCAATCCAGACCCGGGTCAGCAGGAAACCAAAAAAACTGCAATGCAGGAAAAAAAACTGCAACGCAGGTCCTCGCAAACCCGGGTCAGCCAATAGGCGCGGCCGCCCTCGCGGCCACGAGCGGCTCGCTAACCCGGGTCAGCCAGAGGGGGTCTTCGCAGGATCCTGCAGGATCTGGTGCCCTGGCTGACCCCCGTTTGCGTTGACCCCCGTCTCAAGGCTCCCGATGCGAGTGCCGCCACCCGCCTCCGGGCCCCCGGCCCGCGCGGTGGCACGAGCGGCATGTGGCGAGGCTGGAGCCAGGCCCTGCTGTGGGAGCGGCGCCGCTGCCGCTCTTCTGCGGCGGAGCCCTCTCCTTCACCTCGACCGCGATCAGGGGCCCCGCACGGACAGAAGCAGGAGGAGGAGGAGGAGGCGGAGGAGCAGGAAGAGGAGGAGGAGGAGGAGGAGGCGGAGGAGCAGGAGGAGGAGGAGGAGGAGGAGTACAGCGGAACTCTGGGAGGCCGCGCCATCGGGGACTCGTGGCGCCGCCGCCCCGCTCTCAGAGCCACTGTGCGACCCCGCGGCTGTCGGGCGGGTGGCAGCGGGGGGGCGACCGACATGGGGGTGAAGAACAGGGCCCTATTCTGACGAACCAACAGCACACACCCATACCCATAGGGGGGTCGGAGAGGGCTATGGGTGCGTGTTGTCGGATGGGGGTCCCCGCTCGAACGGGAGCGTTCTCCAGGGTCCGACAACCCGCACCCATACCCATAGCCAGTCCTCCTCTCAACGACCCCCCTATGGGTATGGGTGTGTGTTGCTCCTTCGTCATATTCGGCGGTGGAGAAACCTCCCTTTAGTAAACCTCCCCTTAGTGAAAACGGCCCGGGACCGTCACCGACGGACCTGGACCCGCAAAAATGACGGCCGCGAAGCCCACTCGCGAACCGAAAACGGCCAATTCGCTAATCGGCGTGTCAGGGTAGGAGGCCTGTCCACCCCCGAGCCCTAGAAAGGGACCCTTCCGGGCCCCTTGTGGAGCACGCAGGGGCCCAAAAGGGGCCCCCACGGGCCCCTTTACTAGAGGCCTCCTAGGTGGGGTCCCGAGCGGATGGGGTCGGAGGATCGCGCCGCATCGCCGATGCATCGGCGATGCATCGGCGCTGCATCGGCGATGCATCGGCGATGCATCGGCGCCATCGGCGTGGAGAAACTATGGCACCACATCGAGCCGCATCGTCGATGCATCGGCGATACGGCGCGACCATCCGACCCCACCTACTCGGACCCCATCTGGGAGGCCTAGATTTACCACCCGCCCGAGTCGCGAGCGCGCAAACATGGATCAACGATCCATGGATTTGGCGCGCGGTCGCCAAATCCATGCATCGGGGGAGGTGCCCTCCCCAACATGCGGCCGGCGCCGCCTCGCCCGGCGGCGGCAATCCGCGATCTCCCGCGGAAACGGGACCCGTCGCGAATCCACGCCCCCATTGATCCAAATTTGCGATCGCCTGACCGTCGGGGATCTTCTGACCCGGGTCAATCCAGACCCGGGTCAGCAGGAAACCAAAAAAACTGCAATGCAGAAACAAAAAAAACTGCAACGCAGGTCCTCGCAAGCCCGGGTCAGCCAATAGGCGCGGCCGCCCTCGCGGCCACGAGCGGCTCGCCAACCCGGGTCAGCCAGAGGGGGTCTTCGCAGGATCCTGCAGGATCTGGTGCCCTGGCTGACCCCCGTTTGCGTTGACCCCCGTCTCAAGGCTCCCGAGACCGAGGCTGGGGGCCGGTCCCCGCCCGGCCCGGCCCGGCCCCCCACGGGCCCGCCCGGACGCTCCGCCGCAGGCGTCGAGCGCCGAGAGCACGAAGCCCAGGCGGCGCGTCCCGAGGGGGAGCGGGCCCTGGGGCCAGCAGGGGCGGCCTGCCCAGGGGCCCGCGCGCTGCGTCTGGGGCGGGCGGCAGTGGGGGGATGACCTCAGCGGGGGGGGGGGGAGAAGGGCACCCTCACGGGGCCCTTCTGGGCCCCTGCTTGCTCCAAAGGGGGCCCCGAAGGGCCCCTTCAGGGCCCTTTTCTCCCGCCCCCCACGTAGGTCACGCCCCCTTACCACCCGCCCGAGCGTCCCGGGGCCGCCTTGCCGTGGACGAGCCAGGGAGCCTGGCGCAGGAAAACAAAAAAGGCTGCACGATGTTTCGGAGCTCCGCGCGGATGTCCTAGGATCGGGCCCAAGGACGATCCAAGAACGGCTTGGGATGCAAGGCCAGCCCAGTGGAAAGGGTGCAGAAGAAGAGACACCCGCATGAACACAAACCTTCGGAGCTCCGCGCGGATTTCTTGGATCGGGCGCTGGACCCCTCCCCCCCCCCGGGCGCGCGGAGCGCGCCAGGGGCGGCGCTGTAGGCGCTGCCAGGAGGGTCCCAGCGACGATCAGAGAAATCCCCGCGGAGCTCCGACAGATGATGGTCGTGCAGTCTGTTCTCCCTCGACGAGCACGGCGAAACAAAAACTCAGGACCCGTCTCCCACAGGACCCCTCTGGTGGCGGTGAGCCGCTGGCCCTTCCTCGGTGGCTCCAAGATGGGGTCCTGAGGGATGGGCTTCTGAGGACAGGAAGGGCTCCACGGGTGGATATGCATTATTCGAACTCGTCCTTAGGACCCCGTCCCAATGGTCCGTTTTCCTTTGAGCCACCGACTTCCCTCCGCCGCGCCGCAGGCCGCGGGGTAGGGGCCTGCTTCACGAGGAAGGGGGTGCAGGCACCGCAGGTCATCGGGCACCTGGCCCTGATGTGGGCGTCCAGGGTCTGCGAGGGAGGGCGCGGAGGCGGGAGCGAGGGGGGGGGAGAATCAGAAAGGGGCGACCGCCACCAACGGGAAGCCTCGTCCTGGAATCGGCGATGCCGACAGATTGGCGACGGGCCCGCGGTAGCGAGAGGGCACGGTCCAGGACGGGGGTGGGCGGTCGGGCCCCAGTCGGCGATCAGTGGGCGATGGGGAGGTCGATGCATCCCCCTGAGCCTACCCCCGCATAACGTTGCCCCTGATTCACCTCTTCCTCCTTTGTCCTCTCCACAATTGCACCACACGAGTACGAATGTCCTACGAATATCCTCACTGTTCGCCCCCCGCAGCGTCCTGTTCCTCGCGCCTGACTTGCGCGAGCTGGTTTGCCGCATGGTTCTTTAACGACCCGATTGCTCATAGGTCCCCCCCCCCCAAGTCGCTCCCCACTGGCGTTGCGCCTGAGGCAGGAGCATGGCCTCACGCGTCGGTGGTGCGGTCACCCTAGGAGGTCTGCTGAGTAGCGCTCTACCCCGTCGTGGCCCGCTTTCGGGAGGCAGGGGCCTTCTCGGACGGGCCCGGAAGCTTCCCTGAGAAGGCCTCTCGGAATCCCAGATTTGGAGGCGTTGGCGGCGCGCACAAGGGGGTGGGGGGAGGGGGGAAGGCTTCTTAGAAGCAGGCTGCTTCTTAGAAGGCGCCGGCCTTACATATTTAGAGAAGGCCAGCGCCTTCTAAGAAGCAGGGGTGCTTCTAAGAAGCCCTCCCCCCTCCCCCCACCCCCCTCTGCGCGTGGCCGAAGGTGATAAAGGGACAGTCACACCACAACGTCTTGGTGGTGGTGGGGCACCCATGTCTCCGCGGGCAGTACAATTCGCGTGCTTTGATGGCTTTGGGCACCCGCCGAACGACTTGTTTGCGCGGGCCTTCGCGATTGGACGCTACCCGTTGGTTTTGCGCCGCCCAGCCACACACTCCAACCGCAACCCGCGAGGACAGAA